GTTTACAACTAATGTGTTATACAGCTAATCCTTAAAGCTCTAGTAACTTTTGTGAAGGTTGGATTTTTTTGCAGAACTGTTCGACTGAATTATTTGTGTGATATGGTTGACGGGTACTCCGGGTCCTGCTTTTGCTTCACCGCTACGAGATATATACGGAAACCTATCCTTTTCCTGAAAGCGCTGCAGTGACAGCATCTTTGCACTCTGACCTCTCCGATGACACACGCGTGTAGAGGGCTCTCCCCAGTGTTTTTGTAACCTTTTAGAGTCACACATTTCAGATTATCTGCGGTGAGTTGACTGATGGAGGTATCCGTTTTCTTCCGTCTTCGTACCTTTCCCAGGCTGCGGAGAAAGTGTTGGAGAAAGGAGATTCACCCTGTTCCCATTCTCCACTGGGAGGGGGTCCAACCAGTTCTGCTTTAGGAATGTGTGTCAACACCCATAACCTCGATCATGTGATGGCCCGAAGCTCTTGTAGTCCTCCGCTGACCTTTAGGGTCAACAACAGCCGTCTCATAGGTCGGCAGGACGCGCGAAAAGCCCTAAAATGCTCCTCGAGATTGATTTTGGATACCAAGGCCTGTTCTGTCTGCTTTCTTTTTGTCTCTCGCTGATGTTTGGGGGACCAGAAAAGTGAGAGTGCTTTTCTATTAAAGCAGGAGGAACAAAGGACACATTAGAGGCATCTGTAGATTTTCATACTTCGAGACATCTGCCACTGTTACCTTGTGTCAGACAGTATTTATAATTAACTTGCGTGTTTATTCCTAACCATACGTAGAGACTGAGCAAAGGGAGAATGGTGTTCTTGAAACTGTTATAAGACGTCAACAGGGAATCCTCTCTGTGTACACAGCGGGGTTAAAGACTATTAAGACAGCCTGTACACTCTGGTTGCCATTAAATTATCAGCCCTTTATTTAGAACAAGAATATTTTCCACGTCTGATGTCTTGAATTCACAAATAACTTGTTTTTTACTAAAAGTACCCACTTGTACAATACAATGAAGAAATTAGACCAAGATGTTGTTGTTTTGCTGAGCCGCACCATTAATTGGCATCGTTTTCTGTGACAGCAGTGCTAGACAAATTGTCTCCAGCGTCACGAAATGATTCTTCACTGTTGTGTTAAGTTAGCCTTTACAAGGTCGTTTAGATCACCACTGTCAGCCTGACTCTCTGTGGTCACAATAAACTCTGGTCTCCTTCCAGACAGGAAACTCACTGCTGCTTGTGTGTGTCTGTGTGTCTTTTGTGCAGGTTGAAGAATGGAGTTGGCCAACCATGGTCTTATCCTGCTGCAGCAGCTTAACGCTCAGAGGGAGTTTGGCTTCCTGTGCGACTGCACTGTGGCCATAGGAGATGTCTTCTTCAAAGCCCACAAAGCTGTCCTCGCTGCCTTCTCCAACTACTTCAGGATGCTCTTCATCCACCAGGACAGGTACAGGAAGAATGTGTTACTGTGTGGTATTAATATCGAGCTAAGATTGTTGTTGTTGTACATCAGAGAGTTTACCCAACACCAAATAATTCTGCTGCCAAAACCAACAGTCACATTGACTAGTTCTCCTGTTGTTTGTAGTTGAGCACTGGACTGTATCTAAATGTTTTTAGTGTGGTGACCCTTAACTAATGTTACTGTTCGATAACTGGGACGGATTGAGGTGACAAATTGGAGGGTTTGTAAGGGCATGAAGATCAAAACACGGTATCTGTGCTGCTTTGATAATGTGTTCTGGCGAGGTTCCCTCAGTGAAGGATGAACAGACCCAAACAGATTTATTCTCGTGCAAGTTTCAAGTTTTCCTCGTATAGTAAAGAAGTTCTTTCTCTAATATCCTTAAAGAAGCATTTCACCCGTGGAAACATGAATCTTTATTGAAAGTGGGTTATATATGTAGTCGAAATGTAACATAAATTTTGAATTTGGTGCCTATTTGACCGAGAAAAGAGTGTTTGTAGTCTCACCCCCTCTACAAAGATATGAGACTTCCTGCTTCCAGTGATGAAATGAAGATTTTTACATCATTGGAAGCAGGAAGTGCACACGAAAATTCGTATTGTCTCCCCTCTCAAGGGAAATGAGGGAATGTGCACGACCATTTCCAAAACTAATGACTGGGTTTCTACACGACACAAAAAGCTTAATGCAAGGGTGAAGTGTCCCTTTAAAGCTGCTGACGACAGAGAGCCATTCATTCACTTCCTCCATCTACAGTTTCACAGTCAGCTGTGGAATTCAGACCAGAAACAGAGCAGTCACATGTCCGCATCTCTAGCCTTGAGACTACCACTGCACTACACCTGTCTGCTCCCTGAAAACAGTTTTGCTTTCAGGCATTGTTTCAGTGGGTTTCACTACATAAAGGTGACTGAAAAAAATCTAGACAGACTTAACAGTAAAGTCACAAAATGTTGAAAGCACTCTGTTTTCATTTCATCTGGGGAAATAGATTATATTGAATTATTTTTTTAAAATAACTACAAAAGAGGAGAGAAAGAGAAAGTATTTAGAGAAGAATTCTGAGGCGGAGCAAGAAGATGAAAGTGCTAAAAAAAATGTGTGGAGCTTAATATGTACAGAGTATACAGTGAGTGTGAATGGATTATCTGCTCCATGTTTATAAGTCATCACTGTCATCTAGTGGCCAACTGCAGGACTTCAGTGGCATGAAAACAAACTGGGCCGCTTTATTTCACCAAACTTTATTTTCCTTTTCCTTTATTTTGACAGGAGTGTCGGCTGAAATAACCTTACAGTTTTCACAAATACAGTACAACATTTTTCTCCTCAGAAATGCATTGCTTGCATTCACTATCACCGACATCCAGAAGGTGTTGGGATGACTTTTGACACAGAGAATACTGCTCACAAAGTGATGCTGCTCTACTCAGTGTTAACACTCTTGGGGTGGACTACAGACGATCAGTGTGTGTGTGCATGCCTATACGTCTTAGTGCATGGGGATGATTGTTCGGATCATTGCATTTTTGTGCAGCTATTGCCATCGGGTTACAATGTGGATATATGTCACATAGAACTTGCATATTGAATACCCCTACAGCTTTCCACCTGAGAACAAACCAACAAGCCAACCATTCACATAGATCTTCTAGGATTTGTTGAAGCGCACAGAGTAAAACAATTTTAAGGAGAACAGGTATTGCTGTTGCTTATACAAAGTGTGCAGGACATTTAAAAGGGAGCCTTAAATCATTGTGTGATGTTAATGATAACACAAGCAGGAGGTGGTGCGGTGCAGGCAATGAACAACACTTCTTCAGTTCAGGTACACAACGATATTCAGGAATCCAAATCACAGCTTTCCTACAAAAAGTGGCATAGGACCTCTCAGGTGAAACATATGGTGTCTGGAAAGATTTAAATAAACAAAAAATACCATAAATTACATCTTTAGTCATTATCATGCAGTTGCATTCGCTGCCGTTTTTTACAGCACAGAAATCTGAACAGCAGCACACATGGCTACAACCGAGACACGCTCAACTCACGGTGCTGTTTGTGCAAAGTTAAAGGAAAAAACCCAAACAACAGAATTCACATGTGCAATTGCAACATTTTGGATGGTAAAGTCAGCGTCTTTAAACAAAGAAAGCTGTGCTAATGACATCACATGACCATTTTGGGGTGACACTGAACAACTAACTGAACTCTGTATATATATATATATATATCTGTGTTTGAGATATTACAGATGGTCGACGAAGAAGAAAAACCTGTAAAAATGTGTTAAAACATGTGAGGCTTAAAATTTTTAAAGTTTAAATACCCTTCAAGTACTCCATTGCTAGAAATACTACCAGGCTCCAGGTTTGCTGTATCAGTTAGTTTATAGACTCAGTGTCCCTGGGGTCTTAAATGACCGGAATCCAGCAATCTGAATTTTAGGCCATAAAATGTCTTAAATAGGATTTGACAGGTCTTAAAAATGTATTGGATGAATTAAGTTAACATTAAAGTAGCATTTTTCAGTCTTGCTGGGTTTTTTTGACAGAGCAGCTGAAGAGTGGGGAGCGAGAGAGGTGATGACATGCACCAAAGTGTTGCAGGCTGGAATCAAACCCAGGGAGCTGCAGTAAGTACTTGGTACATGGCGCACGCTCAACCAGGTGAGCTACCTGTGGTGTTGCCAATCTCACTTTTAAATGTGTTTTCTGGGAAAAATGTATATTGGTCATGCTGTAACAACTACAAAACAACATGGAACCAATGCCAATTTTCCTTCATATCTTAAGTACTTTTTTTTTGCTACTATGGACGTGAAATAGGTCCTAAATTGCATTCATAATGGTTTTAAAAGTCTTAAATTTAACCTGTTGAAATCTGCAGAAAACTGAAAGATACTAAATCAACAGAGCCAGATTAGATAATAATGCAATGTCTGTCTAACTCATTTGTACAAATTGGCGTATTAACACGTCTAAATGCATTAGTGTTTATAGCTGTTCAGAACAAGCAGACCGGAAGCTGGGGTGAAACCCTGTTATGTAAAGGGGAGAGACACAACCAACCGTTTAAAGGTCCAGTGTGTAGGATTTAGTGGCATGTAGCAGTGTAGCTGCTGATTGCAACTTCCCTTCCAAGAGCAAAGGAGAAACTACGGTTGCTGCAAAACACATAAAAAACACCCCTATCAAGAGCCAGTTTGTCCCATCTGGGCTACACTGCAAAAAAGGAACCTCAAGAAATTAAAAAATCTTTGTCTAAAAATAAAAATAAAAAGTAATCTTGTTTTAAGAAAATATATCTAACTTTGTCTTAATAAGATATTACAGCTAATATTGAGCTAGATTGAACAAGTTACAACAGTGGTTTTCCTAATATCCCAGCAGATTAAGCAGAGAGATTATTTTTATTATTGTAAGAATAAAACCACTTTAATGTTTTATGCTTTATTGTGCTGTTTGAAGAGATTGTTTGTTTGTTTGTTTTTTGCTAATTATTAATCTTAGATTAAGGAACAAATTCTTAAATTCAGATCAATAAAGCGCCCAAAATACTTATTTTAAGAAAGTTTTCATTGCTTGTAATAAACACAACTTGCTTAAATCTTTGGCATTTTTTTCTAGTTTTAAGGCCCATTACAGTCTTTCAGTGCAGATTGTTATGCTCACGGCTTATTTTAAGGTAACAACAAAAAAATATTCCTATATTCAGGTGATCATACACTAATGGAAACGCAGTTCTGAATATCATATTCCATTACTGCCATCAGAGCCCCTTAAATGTTACACACTGGACCTTTGAAAAGGGATAAGGGCTCATCCATTGTGTCAAGTAGGCATACTTGTCAGATTAAGAGCTTTCAGATATGAATAACAAAAGGTCCCCATTGCCTTGAAAATACTCCAAGGCTGCCATTATTCCCTTATTCACTGCCTATATGTCTCAGAATGACATCATCGGTACAAACTGCCGATCTGCTGTTCAGTTTACGGAGAAACTGGCTCATGTTCACACTATAAACTCAGCAGCACAATGTTATAGAAATGACATATGTGAATTCTATATTTGTGATGGACTTTCCCTTTAAACGCAACTTTTCTACTCACAGATGCATACACATCCTGAGCTTTAGCTCACTGTACGAAGCTTTTCAAGCTCCCAGAGTTTCTCCACCTGATACATCAAAGCCACTATTTCACAATATTTGATGGATCTGACATGCTGGTAAAATTCACATTTTACATGAGAATCATCAGAAAGACATATGGCTCTGTCAGTACACCAGTTCCTCCATCTCCTCACAGTTCCTTTCATCTTTTCACATGCTTTTCATTCTGCACCAAGTTGCATCCAGAATAATCTTCATCTAGTCTGCTCTAATGTTCCTATTTCCACTGCAAATTGGTCACACAATTACATTTCTTTGTGATTGTCATCCTCTGACACAATGACCTTCAGAGAACCAACAAACAATAAAGAACTTTTTTTTTTAAATTCATACCACTTGTATTTGACTGTGTTACAGCATGCAAGCTTCAAACAATGTGTGTTTTCACTTGAGAACGCCGTCAGTCAAGTCAGTCAGTGCAAAGGGGAGAAGCTGACACCTTTGTGGCCCCTGGCTTCGGAGCTGGGGCCGGCGTCCGGAGAGGTAGGGGAGACAGGGACATCGAAGGCAGGGTTGGGAATATGCAAAGCCGCTCGTTTACTTTTCTTTGAGCGACACTTGGTGTGACGCCGAGGGGAGGTATCGCCTTGAGAGCTAGCAGTATGGCGGGACCCGCATCTCGCGGAGAGCTCCGGGGAGGGGTCAGAGTTCACTGTGGGGCTGTTGTCTGGGCAGCTATGAGCTGTCTGAGGTTTCCCCTGAGGACACGAGGTGGACAGGAGCGGGGAGCGAGTGGCCGACTCCAGCAGACCTTTAGTTCCCTGTGTGCACTGGGGGAGGCATGAGAAAGAGGAGGGAGGAAAAAAAAAGACAAGAACTGATGAGACGAGCCAGTGAAGTTAACAGGGCGAACAGCAGGGTGTTAAATTACCTCAGTGAATTCAGCAGCAGCTGTGCGAGATGAATCAAAGGCAAGCTGGGAGTGCAAGCAGACAACACAAGTGGTCTGAAGCAAGAGATCGCAAATGTTTCATGCCATAGATCTGCACAGAGATGCAGATTACACCTACAAAATCGTATCTGATAGGTGGAACATCCGAGAGCATTGTCTAGTTAAAGCTGCAGTAGGTAATAACTTTCACCATCAGTTAATCTGTGAAAAAATCAGGTCCCTAGCCTGAGAAAGATAGTTGATTGTTGAGTCTCATTCCCAGAGTCATCAAATACATACTCTGGGAATGAGACTAAACAATCAACTACCTTCAAGCCACCCACCCAAAGCGTCTTTCTATCTTACTTGGCTCTGATTGGTTGTTT